TTCTTGGCTTCAGGTTTCTTCTCCTTAGTATCCTGCTTTGCAGCTTTATCGCCTGCCATCATGTATAGTGGGAAAGAGAACTCTCCACCAGTAGTTTTATAGCTTGCAGTCTTAGGTTTAGATCTGTGATCCACTTTGAGTTGATTTTTGTTAATGGTGGGTTCAGATTCATCTTTTTGCTGGTGTATACTCAGTTTTTCCAACACCATTTGCTAAAGCGTTTTCCTTTTCCCACTGAATTGACTGGTACCATTTGTCAAAGATAAGTTGGCTGTATGATTTGGGTTTTCTTTTCTGGGGTCTCTACTCTGTTCCATTGACCCTCGTGTCTGTTTTTGTGCTAATACCATGCTGTTTTGATTATCACAGCTTTGTAATATATTTTTGGGTCAGGAAGTGAGATGTCACCCACTCCACTCTTCTTGTGCAGGATGGCTTTGGCAATACGTGATCTTTTATGATTCCAGACAATTTCTATGATTGTCTTTTTTAGATCTCTGAAGAATGTCTCTTGTAATTTTATAGGGATTGCATTAAATATGTAGATTAATTTGAATAAGATTGCCATTTTGATTATATTAATTCTCCCAATCCAGGAATATGGGATATTCTTCCACTTTTTTGTGTCCTTTTCAATTTCCTTTTTTTAAAGATTCTCGTAGCTTTTCTTATAGAGGTCTTTGACTTCCTAGGTTAGTTTTATCCCTAGGTATAATATACCTTTTTATGGCTATGGTAAATGGGATTACTTTCTTCAGTTCTGTCTCTGTCTGCTTGTTGTTTGTATATAGAAATGATATAGATTTTTGTAAGTTAACTTTGTATCCTGCCACCTTATTGTATTTTTTTGTGGATACTATTGGATATTCTTTGTATACAGTCATGTCATCTCAATCATGTCATCCACAAACAGATAATTCCCGTTCTTTTTTCCCTATTGGAATGCTTTTTATTTCATTCTCTTGTTTGATCGCATTGGCTAGGACTTCCAATACTATGCTGAATTGGAGTGGAGAAAGTGGTCAGCCTTGTCTTGTAGTAGTTTTTAGTGGAAAAGCTTTTTCAGCTTTTCCCCATTTAGTGTAATGTTAACTATAGATTTTTCATTGATAGCTTTTATTATGCTGAAAAACAATCCTTCTATGCCAATTTTACTGATAGTCTTAATCATAAAGGAGTGTTGTATTTTGTCAAATGCTTTTTCTGCATTGATTGAAATGATCATGTGGTTTTTATCTTTCTTTCTGTTAATATGGTGTAGTACATTTATAGTTTTGCATATGAACCACCCTTGCATCCCTAGAATAAAACCTACCTGGTCATGATGAATAACCTTTTTTATATGTTGTTGAGTATGATAAGCAAGTATCTTGTTGAGAATTTTTGCATCTATAT